TCGTGATGAGTAGTTGGTGTCCACTCAGCTTCTGGTATACAACATAAGGCACAGAGATGTAGTGGACAAATGCTGAGCTGGTATTGGTTAAGAGAAGTAGCGCCGTTCGAGCGCCGTAGTCCACCAGGCTAGACGATGTTGACAATAAGCCTTCTTGTCAAATTGCAGCTTTCTTTCGGTCAGGAGACGCCAAGACAAAGTGGGGTAGCAAGCTAGTTTTAAACCGATCCCAAAGTGTAGTAGTGGAATATCTGGGATGTTTTGACAGTCTTTGAGTTTAATGAGGTGCTCTTTTAGAAACTTGTCCAAAAGGTCCTGGGGCGGCACGGTGGGCTGGAGTGGATAGCCATCTCGCCTTCTCAGGCAAGAAGGTCCTGGGTTCGAAATCCGGTCGGACCAGGGCCTTTCTGAATGGGAGTTGCATGTTCTCCCCGTGATGTCTCGTTAGGTTTCCTCAGGTACACCGGTTTTCCCATATGAAAATAAGTCATTTTATTATTTCTAATTTTACGGGCAAGTCCCACATTCCCCTTCTCTTAGCTATAGCTCAGAATCCACGATGCCATCGAGGTTAAAACCAATCGAGTCATGCCAAGAGCTGTCAATCAATCTGCGCTGATGCTCGTAGCTGCTCCTGCTCAGTTGTTTGTTTTCGCGGAGCCTCATCGAATCAAGCCTTTAGGCTCTCTGGAACTACAAGACAAACTGAAAAAAAAGAAATTCTGGAACATCCGCGTACCCATATATATACTGAACCTATATCCATAATCATATATACTGAACCTATATCCATAATCAGATATATACTGAACTATATCCATAATACAGGTCCTCTGCAGATGTGTCCTATAATGTTCAATTCATGATAATAGCTTGACCCCGGGTTTGCCGCGACCTCTGCTTTTGTACATAATTTATTTATTTTTTTCATTAAAACGCTAACAAAATCATTCTGAAATCCTCCCGTGCATGTTATTAAGATGTATATGTATAATGTGTTCTCTAATTAACATTTATAAGTGTTAAGGAAACGCGAGCGTAGACCAATCAGAAAGGAAGGGGGAGGGAGCTTGCCAGTCGTTTCTTTTTCAAATCAAGTACCTCTCTCTCTTTTTCTGACAAAACTGCGGACAATCACTTTAATACTTTATGTTCCTATAGTACAGACAGACTATATAGGCATTGGGCAAATCTTTTTGCATTTTTAGTTTTAGTTTATATGCAAAAAAAAGGACATAAATAAACATAGAACATTCATAAGTTTATAAGCTATTACCACCCTAACATTCTCATTTTACTTATCAACTAATGTTTACATTGCACAATAGTAGAGGGCATCACAGTGAACAAGTGTGCAGTGAAAGCTTTTTTCTAAGGTTTTTTTTACTTTTTTTAAAAATCCAGGTTAAAAAGTGCATTTTGGATCATTATTGCACACTTTGACCCCTATTTTCTTGGAATTTCCACAGTAAAAGTGAATGTGACTTTGCACAATAGTAGAGGGCATCGCAGTGAACAAGTGTGCAGTGAAAGCTTTTTCTAAGGTTTTTTTTACTTTTTTTAAAAATCCAGGTTAAAAAGTGCATTTTGGATCATTATTGCACACTTTGACCCCTATTTTCTTGGAATTTCCACGGTAAAAGTGAATGTGACTTTGCACAATAGTAGAGGGCATCGCAGTGAACAAGTGTGCAGTGAAAGCTTTTTCTAAGGTTTTTTATGTATAAAAAAAGAATCATGTTAAAAAATGCATTGTGGCGGCCCATCCCCGCGGCTTCGCTTTCCTGTGTTACCGTAAGTAACAGCATAATGTGACACCCCTCTTTTTACGTGCGGACCTCTTTACCTCTGGTTCTGGAAAGCCGGACCTCTTTACCGCGGTGGGGACCACGGGGGATCCCGTAACCCGGGCAACCCGTGCATTAATGCCCCCAGCCATGTGTGACACCCTGCGCGTTTTACAACAGTTTGACAAAGAGGAACCTTTACGCACGGTTCTGATTGGGTTCTGAGAAGTGCCAGCCGTGCGCATGCATGTGTTATGTTACATGCATGTTACATGCATGCTGTAACATTTCCAGCTCTGGCCCTCAAAAAAGACAGACACCTGTCGCCCTGGTCACACTACATGGGTTAGTTTGATAATCAAGAGTTTTCCAAAACGGCCCAACTCCCTGAGCAACACGTGCTCTGGAGGGGTCGCCCCCTCCTTCAGTCGTCTATGCACTCCATTTGAAGTCTCATCTCCTGTCATTCTCACTGCTCCTCAATGAATGTAATCCTAACTAGAGGAACACATAAAATAGACCTATGCGTCTCATATATAAATATCTGCCTCGGAGTAGGCTATAGGCTGGATCATTACGCATTGAATTGGGCTGTGCGCGCTTATATTCAGCCCAAAACACACAGGCACGGCACGGACGCCCTGCACACAGCGGCATCAACTTCACCCTCCGCTCCACACACACTGAGCTACTACTGGACAGTTAGAACACATTTTAAAAACACTGGATTTCAAGATTAACAGCTTAAAATGTATGTGCTTTTTATACAATAAAGTGATTGAGGAACTATCCCCCCTTCTGTTTTTTTGACAAATCGCACCCTGCCTAAGTGAGGTAATATCCCCTCCTGAACCAACTAAAATCCAAACTGTGCCACCACCACAACAAAATAGTCAGCATGATTTTTTTGCTTAGCAATAGTAATGTTCATTTTGCCAACTTGCACAATTGCATTATTCATTTAATGTTGTATTCTATACAAAAACTATAACCTTAATCCAAAGGCAAAACAAAACTTCATGTCAAGGAGATACTGGGAATTGCACGTGCTGTTGTATTGTCACTGTCACGTTTAAGCAGCATGGTCAGGCTTTGATACTGGCGCCACGCAGTGAACATCGCTATTCACTCTATCTCTCAGGACAGCGTTTCATTTACAGGATAAATAAGCAGTTTGGTTCCTGTTACTGCGTAAAAAGTAGCTTTTGTAAATGCAGCGCGTTGTTTATGAACAACGATCATATTCAAAATTGTATAACAAATATGTCAATCGTTTGTGCTGTCAAATGTTTAGTTTGTGCTGTTATCGTTTTTGAGATATCGTTTTTTGCATGCAGTGTTTCTTGTCGTGAACTCCCGACACGTGTGCGCTTCAAGTTAATAGCTCAGGCTCGGGCCGGGTCGGGCTTTTTTTTGGGCCCGAGCTAACCTCTACTTCACACTAATATTTTCTACCCATACAATGTATTCCTGAATAAAATAAAATTATTGCATTCAACATACTATACTATTTTTAGGTTCAGAAAAAAACATCACCTGGATATTGCTTGCAACTCATAACTCAAAAACTACACAACACATCTACTAGGTTACTTGACAAATCACACACTCATTATTAGCTATATGCAATGATAGTTAGCATGCTCTCTGTATTTATGATTATTTATTTGTTTTATTTATTTGTGTCAAATAGTACAGTAAAATGAGTAGAATGTTTACCATGTTCGTGCCATTTACCCTCGCATACTGTATGCCTTCCTTTTCGTCATCTTTCTGACTTTAGTTCTTTTCTAGTGGAAAAATGCTGCTTCACATGCATGCACGTATAATGACCTCCCAGTAGCACACCACCAGCTGTACTGATTAATGATCAGAGCACTGCCTAAAAAAATGCCTACACTCACCTAAAGGATTATTAGGAACACCTGTTCAATTTCACATTAATGCAATTATCTAAACAACAAATCACATGGCAGTTGCTTCAATGCAAGTGCCAGGGTTCTATTTTAGGTCCAGTCCTTTTTAACCTGTACATGCTCCCTCTTGGCGGTGTCATCAGGAGACATGGAATTAACTTCCACAGATGATACACAGCTGTACATCTCCATGTCTCCTGACGACACCAGGCCAATGGATGCTCTTTTTAACTGCATTTTAGACCTGAAATCCTGGATGGCAGAAAACTTTCTCCAGCTTAACCAGGACAAAACTGAGGTTTTAGTCATCGGTCCTGAGGCCCAGAGAGAGAAACTTTTATCAAAACTCCAATCACACTCTTTTAATCCATCATCACAAGTGAAAAACCTCGGCGTAATTTTTGACTCTGAGCTGACTTTTGTTCCTCACATCAAGAATATCACAAAAATAGGTTATCATTTAAATGATACTTCAAATGGCCCGCTGTATGAAATGTTATAATCTGATATGAATGACTGTTATGATGTGTACATACACATTACATATTTTCCCAATATTGTAAGTAACTTTATTTTGTGTGATATCACCAGTGGAAGTTGCTAGAAAGAAGCAGCCTCCTAATTCCTGACCAACAGTTCCATCACATTAACATGGTGGACCAAAGTGTCTTTATGTCATGTATTTCCTGAAAGTGCAAAGTTGATATACAACAGCTATTCATTCGATGCATAGTTAACAAGTCTAACAAAATCCATAATACAACATCAAACTATTATTTCCACACATTAATAGTGAAGAGTGTTAATTCAACACAAGTTGTCACATGCACAGTTTGCTGAACCATTTTTCAGCCTTAATAAAAACATTGCCTCTGACAATGTTTGACAATCTTCTGGAAGACGGGTTTACAGACAGATTTTAGCTGTATGTCACTGAGATGCATCCGTGTTTTCCATGTTTGGTCCAAACTGTTAGCACAGCCAGCACAGTTTTACTCTGTACCTATGTGACAGAGTGTTCTTCAGGACAATGTTATTTATTCCCAGCACTTCATGTAATGGGCCATGGTGCATGTCATGTAAACAAGATCCACTGAAGGGGAAGGGAATCGTATTTGTATAGCGTTTTTATATGACACAAGTCACACCCAAAGTGCTTCACACACGAAGGGGAGGGGGGTTCATTCACTCCATGCTGATGGTGGTAAGCTACATTTGTAGCCACAGTTTCCCCTGGGGTAGACTGACAGAAGCGAGGCTGCACACATCTGCGCCAACGGTCCCTCCGACCTGGTGATCAAGAAGCTCTGTAACACACAAAAAATTAAGAGGATTATATTCATATCATAATACAAAGGTTTATTTGAATAAGAGCTGCGTGTCAGGGTGACAGAGAAGGACCAGTTGTTTGTTATATGCACAATATCATGTACTTCTTGCATAGTAAAAAGCAAATGATTACATGACAATTGCATTCATAAAATGAGCTCAGTCTGTCTACCTGTACAATCTTATAATAGGCTACATGTACACCACACAATGGATCTACATAGCTTTCAATGGGCCTACTCTGTGTGACACACATACTGTACATACCTGCTAATAATGTTACAGAGTGCCTCTAGATCTTATGTGAGTGTATGAATGTGTTGCACACTTTTGGGGCACGAGCAGATGCGGTTAGTATTAAATTAGATTTAATAATGCATCGGTTTTATATAGCGCTTTTCTGGACACTCAAAGACACTTTACATTGCACTATTCATTCACTCCATACTTGATGGTGGTGAGCTACTATTGTAGCCACAGCTGCCCTGGGGGAGACTGACAAAAGCGAGGCTACCAGTTTGCGCCATCGGCCCCTCTGACCACCACCAACCACCACCAACCACTCATCACATTCGCTAGGCTTTCTGGTGTTACCAAACGGTCTCCCATCCAAGTAGTAACCAAGCCCTTCCCTGCTTAGTTTCCAAGATCTGACGGGATTGGGCAGAGCAAAGGCGGTATGGCCACAGATTTACTCCAGTGCAGTAACAAGTAATGGACTTTTTAACTACTACTTGCAGCTTTCTCATATGGTGCAGTATACTTCTACTTGAGTAGAATTGGCATTAACAAGAATTGGCATTGACAATGTAATTTTGTCAAGCAAACATTACATACATTAATGTTTTTTTTAAAACAAAACTTCAAATTTTTCATTGGATGAATGAGCTGAAACTATTTTCTAAATATTATTATTTATTATTGATTAACACCCAAAATGCAGTGAAACTAGCTTCTTTTATAGTCAATCTTGTAGAATGATTGCCCTTATAGTTCATTTTCTTATTATATTATATTTCATTTATGACATGCCCGATGTTCTTCTGTTGTTTTTATTTGTTTATTTATTTTCTAAGATGTGCACTGCAGTCCCTTTAGTGACATTTCTACAGAAATTATTTTAATAATAATAAAGAACAAACTTCTACTTCAATTACTTGAGTTGTTCAGTAACAATAAGGTCTGGTGCAGTAATAATATTCAAATTAAATTGGCTTTATTTATGATTCGCCTGGAAAACTGTTCGCGTATGTTGGTTCTCACATCTTTTTTTGTGTTACGAAAGTTATTTCCATGCACATCACCAGCAGTTGTGTAATGATCCTGAAAAGTAGGCTAACACCGCCATCTATTGGAGTGAAGTTGTCATTGCAGTACATACACCAGCCTGATCCCGATGTGGCTGTAGACGTGATCAAAACAAGCACACCGGAAGCTGCCAAATGAGGCTGGCTTGACCTGCAGGATGGTAATCAGGCGGGCTTGACGGCGGTAGAAACTCCCTCAAAACACGCAAGAATATGCTCGGAGCACTTTGTGTCAGGTGCGTATCGTATCTTATAATGTGTTGACAGACGTAATTTACTCAGTACTAACTTGTGTATGCTGATATCTGGTAACTTGAGAGTTTCATTATTTAGATTACTTTATTATGAGGAGGATCGATGTCGCGTCCGAGGCTCTCGAGGGCAACGTAAATGTATTAAATAGATAATAATAGTTCTATGGTGGGCTAAAACAATGTTCACTAACAGCATTGCTTCTGTAAAAAGATCTGTGTCATAAAATAAACTGCTCTTTACGCCTGGAAAAATCAGTTGCCCACCATTCACCAAAACATACGGTCAAAAACGCGGAAATAAACAATAACAGCAATCCAGAGTGTCCGTGTGGCATTAGCATTAATTAAATTAATTGTTAATATAATTAAAATAATTAAATGGAGCTCCAACTGGTATTAAATCTAAAGTTTTTGAGAAATGTTTGCATTGCTTGTTAATTTTTGCTGCATAATTTGATCAAATATGTAAAACATGTCCGTAGCACGTTAAACTGTGGTGCCATTGTATTAATATACAATTATTTGCTCAAAAGTTGCCCTTTTTTTCCAATTTGCGTTTGAATATCTAGATTTATTCTCATTCTTCTGTTTAATGGAATGCACAAACACAGCAGCGTGCCATCAAAGATGGCGTCTCCGAGGAGGTCATGTGACATTCATTGGTCTGTGGGAACTATGTATTCTTTGTTCCTTGTGGGCTGAAACTGGCATTAAAGTGGCGCAATGCGTCGGCTATCTGGCGCTCATTGGGCTACTAGCCACGCTAGCCTTGACATCGCTCTCGTCTAACTTGTTAGTTAACCCTAACCAGACGAAGTGAGTAGCTGTGGTTAACACTTAACGATGTAATCGATCAAGATATGTGGGGATAACTGATCTGACAGATCATTTATCAATAATTGCGCGAAGTTGACCCCCGCTTTTGTAGCTCTGTTTTTCCAGGTTAGCCACTCGGATGTGGTAGTGCTAACCCAAAGCATCCAATAGATTCATGGTGCGGGCACACAGTTTAGAAATGCTCATAAGAGGACCGTAAATGTGAAATGGCCAATGCTGGCTTTATATGTGATATTTTTTTTTTCATACTTTATTGTGTCATCTTCCTTAGTTCACACTGTTTTCTTAATACATACAGCTTAACCAGACACATTTTAATTTCTTTTTTTTTTGTTTTTTTTTTTTTACCCCACTATGCTCCCCTTGTGTCAAAAAAACAAAAACAAAGGTTAAAACAAAACAAAGCAAAACAAATACATAGACAAATAAGGAGAAAGTATGTATATATACGCAAAAATAAAATATATATATACAAAAAAAAAATATATATATATATGTAAATAACAATATTAAAGTAAATAAAATACCCTTAACAATAGATGGTTATTCTTATGGCTGTATGTTAAATAGTTTTGATGTTATATTGATAAGTGTACAGAATGTGTAGTCAGTCTTCCTCTGTGACCATTTTTGTTGAATTTATATATACATACACACACGCACAGATACTCGTTTGCACACCTATATACTCATGTACATACATATACGCGCACATGCATACATCCACATACATGCATACGTACATACACGTACAATACACATGCAAGCATATACACGTACACATGCATGCAGACATATAATCACACACAAACCTGTAAAAACACAATATTTTTCTCCTATTTATCCTTCCCTTTCAGAAGCTCCTCTCTACTTAGTTTTATGGTTATTGTTGAGATAATATATATATATATGTTTACATACCCACATACACACACACATACACGCCTATATATATATATATTTTTAGATGGTCACTTTTACGTAAATATATCATCGAAGGTGTGCCATTTTCTCCTGAATTCATCTTCCTCATTATTCATTTTGTGTGACAGTTTCTCCATTAGCTGAACCTCTTGAATTGCTTCCATCCAGTTTTGGATTTTGGGGATGCTGGTTGTTCTCCAATTCTTGGTGATTTGTTTGAGGGCGGTTATTCGCATTATCCAGAACAGGTATTCCTCTCTTCTCTTCATTCTCTGAGTTAATATACCCAGTAATAATGTTTTATCGCTGTGTAGGTTTATGTGTCTAAGTACTAGTGTAATATTTGATTTCACCTCGGTCCAATAGTCTTGGATTTTCGTACAAGTCATGAAAATATGTCTGTAGTCCACCTCTTTCTCCCCGCACTTCCTCCAACACTCTCCCAGGTTCTTGTTCTTTGTGTACTTCGAGATTGCTTTAGGTGTTTGGAAGAACCTCAAATGTAGTTTCCAAGCAAACTCTTGCCAATATGGTGATCGTATGTGTGAGTGGATTGCCTTTATACTTTCGTACCACTTGTCGTTCTCAATTCTTTCGTCTAGTTCATTTTCCCACTTCACCTTGGTTATTTCACTATTATGTTTCTGATGCTCTTGCATTATGGTATATATCTCTTTAATAACTTTATGCTTTTCTCCTTTACTCTTTTGGATTAAGTAACGTATGAGAGCATGAAGTTCATCTACTTGTTTATTATTTGTATTGTTTTTTAGGTAACTTCTCACTTGAAGATACCGATAAAAATTATTCACTGGAATGTGGTATTTTCTTGCAATGTTTTCAAATGAGTCGATTCCTTGGTCACTGTAGAGTTGATGGTATCTTTGCACTCCTTTCATTTTCCAAGTATTGAATCCTTTGTCTGTAAGGTTTGGCTTGAATTGTGGGTCTTGAGTTATTTCTCTGAGAAGGATGGTGTCTTGTTTTATCACATTAAATTTCTTGCATATTTCTTTCCATATCCTCAGCGAGTTGTATACTGTGAAGCTCTTCTCCTTGTATTCTTTAGTTTTAAAGTTGGTGAAGGGGAGGGTGCCAAGTGGTTTGATAATTTTTTCCCTCAATCTGGTTCCATTGTGTGTTTTTCTGTGCATTTATCCAATCTAATATTGTTTTCATTTGTGATGCGAGAAAGTAGTTTGCCAGGTTAGGAAGCGCTAAGCCCCCTTTCTCTTTCTCTCTTTGGAGGTTTTTCATTTTTACTCTGGGTTTTTTCCCATCCCAAATAAAACTTCTGAGTTGTCCTTCCCATGCTTTGAAAATGTGTCTGTCCAAATAGAGAGGTAAATTCTGAAAAAGGAAGATGTATCGGGGCAAAATGTTCATTTTTTATAAGTTTAACCCTTTCAAAAATAGTTAGGGGGATCATTTTCCATCTGATAAGGTCTCGCTTTATTGATGTGTGAAGGGTATAGTAATTGGTTTCATAAAGTTTATCTAATTTACTTGGTATGTTAACTCCAAGATATTTAACTTTGTCACATGACCATTTTAGTTTAAATTGTTTTTTTAAAATCAAGGTCTAGTGGCTCTCCTATCTCCATAACTTCAGTTTTATTGTGATTCAGTTTATAACCAGATATTAGCCCATACAGCCTTATTTCTTCTATTAGAGTTGGCAAGGATTCTTTCCCATTTGTCAAATACACCATGATGTCATCGGCGTATAGTGCTAGTTTATGTTCTTCATCGATGACCGTCACTCCTTTTATTGTTCTATTCTTCCTAATCCTTTCTGCTAGTGGCTCGATGCACATGGCAAAAATCTGTGCAGAAATGGGGTCCCCTTGTCTTATTCCTCTTTTTAAATTAAACGTTTCTGAGAGCAATCCATTTGCTTTAACTCTAGCTGTAGGCGTGGCATACATACACTTCATTAGGTTTATGAAAGCTTCATGAAATCCAAATTTCTGGAGTGTAGAAAATAAGAAGGGCCATGTTACGCGGTCAAAAGCTTTTTCTGCATCCAGTGTCAGGATGAGTGTTTGTTGTCTTGTCTTTGTTGCGTGATCTACAACATTGATGGTCCTCCTGACGTTATCGCTCAGGAGTCTGTCCTTGACAAAACCAGTCTGATCCAAATGGATTATTTCTGGTAAAATGCCAGACAGTCTGTTGGTTAGTATTGAAGTAAATATTTTATGGTCCACATTTAATAGGGATATTGGGCGGTATGAAGCGCATCTTTGTGGGTCTTTTCCTTCTTTCGCTATAATGGTGATAATTGCAGAGTTCCATGTTTGGGGCCATTTTCCATTTTCCAATATTTCATTATAAACTCTGCACAGTGTAGTCGAAAGTAGGTCTTTAAATTGTTTGTAGAATTCATATGTCAGGCCATCGTTTCCTGGTGCCGATCCACGTTTTGCTTTTTCAATGATCTTTATTACTTCTGTCTGTGTGATCGGTTTTACTAGGTTGTCGTTTTGTGCCTTGCTTACTTGGGGAACTTCAAAGCTCTTCATATATGAGTCTAATTTGGTTATGTTGGTTTCTTCAGATTCTGGCCTGTACAGTTGTTCATAATAGTCTTTGAACGTGGAGAGGATTGCCTTTTTTGTTCTCCTCTCTGTATCTCCATCTTTTATCACAGTTATTGTTCTGTTTTGTTGTTGCATTTTTAATTTTGCATTAAGCATCCGCTGGGCCTTTGGACTGTTGTCGTAGTAAGTCAGTTTGTTCATCATTGTTGCCTTTTCGATTTCTTGAAAGTCAATATTTTCCAGTTTCTTCCTTATTTTTTTCAGTTCTTTCTCGTTTTCTTTATTTGGTGAGAGTTGATGTTGTTCCTGTAAATCTTTTAGTTTTGTTTCAAGTTGGCGTTTCTCTCTTATCCTTTCTTTCTTCTTCATCGCGGAATATGCTATAATTTGGCCTCTTAACGTTGCTTTTGCTGCTTCCCATAAGATAGTTGTTGTCACTTCTCCATTGTCATTGATCTCTGAATATGTTTCAAAGTCTTTTTTTATTTTCTCTTGAAAGTATTTATCTGATATGAGCGAGTTGTTCATCCTCCACAATGTCTCCCTCTGGTGTTCTCTCAGGTGTTTCTCTAAGGTGACCAGGGCATGGTCTGCTATGGCTATAGGGTGGATTTCACATTTGGTAACTTTATGGATTTCAGTTTTGAACATGAAGAAGTAATCAAGTCTTGAGTAAATTTTGTGGCGATCAGAGTAGAAAGTAAAAGCCTTTTCCTGTGGGTGTAAATTGCGCCACACATCGATTATCCCCCATTCTTGTTGTGCTGTTTTCATTAATTTAGTTGTTTGATTTGCTTTATGTTTCACCTTACTTTGTGAGTCTTCCTTTGGGTTCAATACAAAATTAAAATCTCCTCCCATTATCATTATGCCTTTAGTTTCAATCATTAATATTTGCAGAATTTTGTTCAAGCACTCTGGGGATTCCCCTGGAGGGTTATAGACATTAATTAAAGTTATGTATTGACCTTCGATTTTCCCTATTACTAATACATATCTTCCATCTTTATCAATTATACATTTCTCTTTCATAAACAAGCAACTATTCTTTATTAAAATTGCGACCCCTCTTTTAGCTGTGGTGAATGATGAGGCATAAACCTGTCCTGCTGATAATTTTCCTAGTTTCAGATGTTCTGTATCAGATAAATGGGTTTCCTGTAGAAAGCAAATTTCCCCTCCCTCCCTTTTTATCTTTTGGAGAATCCGTTTTCTCTTAATTGGATTATTCAGTCCATTTGTGTTTAATGTTCCTATTCTCAATTCATTCATGTCGAAGTAGTAATGGTGATAGATACATTATGAACAAAACATTGTTTAAGAAAAGAAAAAAAGAAAAAAGGAAAGAAAGGAAAATGGTGAATAAAGATGATTAAATGGTGTAAAATTAAAATGTTGGCTTCCATTTCATGTAACCTCACATGGTTACAGTTCCTCCTCCAAGTTTTGGAGAGGATGGGGTCTTTTTGCAGACCCAAACCACTTGATTTTATATGTGGTCTATTTGGAGCTATTTTACACTCCGTTTCGTGGTGTGGTAAGCACTTTACACTGCCTCTTATCTCTATTAAGTGTCCTAATTTGCGCTGTTTTTTGTTGTTGTTCTTTCTAAATAATGATTCATTACTTGATAGCCTAAGTGTATGATTTTCCTAAATAAGATTATCTTACCGTTAAAGTAAACACGTCAGGTACTCAAATATCCAGTCATATGTCCATAGATTACAAAAATAATAATACAAATTCCGTACGAGGCCCTGTCGTTATCGCATGTAGTAGTAATCCGTGATGTTTTCAGCGCACTTTCTTAAATGGAGCGTGTCCAGCTTCTGTCTCTTGTGTTACGGGCTCCCCCTGGTCCAGCAGCCCGATTTTCTTCAGGTTCCGAGATGCGTCCTCTAGGCTTGAGTAGATCGTCTCATTGCCGTCCAGGAAGACGCGTAATTTTGCTGGGTAAACAATGTGCGACTTCACGTTCTTCTGCCGTAGTTGTTTACGTAGCGCGGAGTACCTGCTTCTTTCGGCTTGTATTTTGCAGGAGAAGTCTTGCGAGAAGAAGATGCGGTTCCCTCCTACTACGATCTCCTTTTTGGACCAGGCCGCTTGTAGAACTTTCTGTCTCATTCGCCATTCCTGGAAACGGATTATAATGGACCGGGGGGCTGCGTTTCCACTCGTTGGTCTCTGGGTAAGTGACCGATGTGCTGCGTTTATGATGATTTCTTCTGTCGGGATCCCCAAGCTCTCTTTTAGGAGATTTAAGATGAAGGAAGTCATCTCGTTTCCTTCCAGACCTTCTTTTACTTGGTAAATCCGTATGTTGTTTTGTCTCGATTTGCTCTCGAGATAATCCAGTTTCTCAGACATTTGTTGTTGTTCCTTTTGTAATTGTTCGATAGTTATATTTGTGTCGCGTTCTCTGGTTTCCAATTCGTCAATACGCTGTTCTGCCATGGTCAGATCTTTACGTATCCCGTTAAAGTCTTCGCGCAGGGTTTTCATTTCAGTGGCGTACGCTTCCAAGTCCCCTCGCACCTCTTTAATTTGACCCACGATATCCTCTTTGAACTCAGTGAGCATAGTTTTTAAACTAGTCTCAAGGCTTGCCATCTCGGCTGCGTTTGTCTCACGTGGAGTCTTTTTCTTCTTAAGAGCAGAAGGCTGGTTTTGCTCAACCGGGCCCGATCTCAAATTCATTCCATTCACCAGACTTGTCAAGGAGTTTGATTTGGGGCTCTTTGAGATTGGAGATTAGACAGTGTTTAAGATTTAGTTACAGTGACATTCTCACATGTCCTGCGTGCTCACCGGAAGCCCAAAAAAATGTCGTGTTTAAACAGTAAAAAAAAAAAAATAATATATAATATTTTATAGTTACAGCTGACCTGCTCTATACTAACCTGTGTCCAGTCCGTCGCTCACCACCGGAAGTTCATTGGCTGGCTGGTATCTTAAACTATTATGAGTGCATATACATTGACTGAAAATTCATCTCAAGTCTAAAAATCGAAACTAATGGAAAGACGAAAAAAATCGGACCCATGGACCTAGACTCCTTACAAGGTCCTACAGAACCCCTGCGACTTAGACCTGGGACTCAGATCCCTGGACAAAGACCTGGACCCAGTCCTGGATCCTAGCATCCCCTGGCACTCGGTTCCTTTTATTCAGTCCTTCGACAAGCCTAGCGTCCGATGTACTCACAGGAACCAAGTCCATGAGAACCATGACCTGGACCCCACCCTGGATTCTCAGGTACCTAAGACCCATGTCCTGGCCGACTCGTGTCCTGACTGGTGTCCAGCTCGTACTATGTCCCAGGTCTGGGGCCTCGCTCCACATAGACACACATAGAATATTGCACACTCACATGAAAGTGAATGACAATAAATTTTATTCAGTGCACCAAATCGACTCAGATTAGGTCAAAAGGCACACAAAAAGCCTCTTCTTACATTTGAACATGGTACCCCAGAAGAACAGTCTGGTCAAGAATCCAGAAAGAAGTCTTAAAGTCTGAACAGTAAACAATGAAAGGGGTTCCCAGTATGTATTTAAAAAAATAATAATAATAATAAAACCTAAGATTTTGACATTTTTAGTGGGCAATGTTTAAATTAAAAGCTACTTATAATAAAAAAGAAAAAGAAAAACTGCCTTACCAGGAAGTTGGTAACCAACAAGCTAGTTACATTGCAGTTTCCTTCTGGAGGCTGTAATGCGGTTATAAACATAAAATGTTATGTGCTGCCAGTTCCGGTTCTTAACGATTTCAGGTTCAGCCTTTAAACATTTCTCGCAGTCCATTTTTCCTGGTACAATGTGAGATGAGATGAACTTCATCATCTGTCATTAACCTCTGTCTTCTGCCAGGGACTTTTCTTCTTCTGTGTGGGTTTGCCTTCAAATAGAGAGAAAAGATCAGAACAGTGAAGTGAATTCCAAACTAAAGCTCTCACCCTTTTCAGTAATGGACCAGGTTCCTCAATCAAAGTGAAAATATTTGCTCTTTACGTAAACTTACATTGTCACTCAAACATCAATTAGCAAACTGTCTTTTGAACTTGCACGCTGTGTAATCACTTACATTGTCCATATCAAAAAACACCCCAGAGCTATCTCATCGGAAAGCCTAATTAGTCACATTTACCATGAAGTATAAAACAAACATCAATGGAATGAACAACAAAGCCAATTTTCCCAGCAATATTCTTCTGTTTGAATTCACCCTGCCATCCTTTCCGGCTGCGGAGTTTCGGAGGTCACTACAACTTCTGATTTTCTTCTATAAATTGTGACACCCCAATATGGAAAGTAATAACCTGCATAGAACTCTGCTGTTCAGTGAACAGCAAAGGCTGCACTGTTATAAATGTGGTATTCAGAGCTTAACACAAGATCAATTACGTTTCAATGCAAAATTACATACGTGTGCCCACTATTACAATCATTTTTATATCAGGCATTGTTATTTTTCATATGAGAGTGTTGCTTGGATTCTTGTCATTATCATCCATCTGACTCAGAGGTGGAGAGAAGAGGGATGAGGCGTCATCTAAAGACTGATACAGTTTCTGAATATGCTCAATCTGATGTAAATTATGGACAAAACAATCGGGAAAATAAACTATTGTGTTGACAGAATATCCCTGGAATGAAACACATAAAACCAATTTCTGATATAAAACTTCAAATCAAATTTCATCGTTCCTATTCCTTCCTACCCAGCCAAGCTCTGCCTGCCTTCACACATCTCAAATCAAACAGGCTTTGTGGGGACATTTCTGTAAACAATAATTCACTTCCTCATGGGGACCATATTAAACATTTTACACAGTTTTTCCTCACACACTTGGTGAAAGTGTGGTGTGGGGACACTGTGAGTGTCCAGTACAGACTGATAACTAAACAAGAGAAAAATGCCTGTGACAAATTAAATCTGCCTGAAATACTTTGCTAACACTCACATTCTGAATGCATAATGAGAAATTGTCAGCTGTGCTAATGCGCAATAGTTTCTCGTGAAAACTAATGTCCATCGTCATAAATGTTCATATATAGAGAGCAAAATAACATGAATAAGTGATGTTATGAATATACCTGTTGGCTGTCACTGGGACCAGCAGCATCAAACGTCTGATTCGCAGACAGGAAAGGTCAAGAGCCATCTAAAGCCACACCACTCACTGTAGGGCTGGTCATCTGTAACACATTTAGAAAAAAAAAAAGATGTTTCAGATTGGGATTTAAGAAACCATTAGACAATCTCACTTCATATAACAAGAGTCAAGAACTACGCAAACAGACTCTCCTAGAGAACATGCATGCCAGCATGCACAAAGCATCAGAAAAAACAACTTTATAGTAAAGTTTCCTTTCTGTCTTGGCAACCTCTGTTTTCACACATTTTAACATAAAACATGTTTTGTGGGGACATTCCTTTACACAATCTTTCAGTTTCTCATGGGGACCAGACTACCACAGTCTGACTTTCAAAACAGTTATGACCTTGACACTTTTACACACTTCTAATTTTAGTGTGATGTGGGGACATCATGAGAGTCCAGAATAAAAAGTCAGACCACAGTCTGACTTTCAAAACAGTTATGACCTCAACACTTTTACACACTTCACATTTTAGTGTGATGTGGGGACATCATGAGAGTCCAGAATAAATTATGATTCAATAAGAGTTTGATCTAATTTATATATGGCATTTGCTGGAAATACATTGTCAACACTAACATTATTTATTGGTTTTGTTGACTTGTTTTGTCACACTAACTCTATCATCAAAACTGTGGTCTTTCTTCATTGAAGCTTCTTACAAATGGAGAGAGAAATTCAAACACATTTAAAAAGACATAAGTAAGATGCATATACCTCTTTGAGAGTGTTGCTTGGATTCTTGTCATTATCATCCATCTGACTCAGAGGTGGAGAAGAGGGATGGGAGTCATCTAAAGTCATGTCATGAGCTGTGGTGCTGGTCATCTATAAACACATTGAAGAATGATACAGTTTCTGAATATGCTCAATCTGATGTAAATTATGGACAAAACAATAGGGAAAATAAACTATTGTGTTGACAAAATATCCCTGGAATGAAACACATAAAACCAATTTCTGATATAAAACTTCAAATCAAATTTCATCGTTCCTATTCACGGTGGCAGAGTGGATAGCACTCTGGCCTCTCAGCAAGAAGGTCCTGGGTTCGAATCCCGGTCGGACCAGGGCCTTTCTGAGTGGAGTTTGCATGTTCTCCCCGTGTCTGCGTAGGTTTCCTCCGGGTGCTTCCTTCCTACCCAGCCAAGCTCTGCCTGCCTTCACACATCTCGAATCAAACAGGCTTTGTGGGGACATTTCTGTAAACAATAATTCACATCCTCATGGGGACCATATTAAACATTTTACACAGTTTTTCCTCACACACTTGGTGAAAGTGTGGTGTGGGGGACACCGTGAGTGTCCAGTACAGACTGATAACTAAACAAGAGAAAAATGCCTGTGACAAATTAAATCTGCCTGAAATACTTTGCTAACAGTCACATTCTGAATGCATAATGAGAAATTGCCAGCTGTGCTAATGCGCAATAGTTTATTGTGAAAACTAATGTCCATCGTCATAAATGTTCATAAAAAGAGAGCAAAATAACATGAATAAGTGATGTTATGAATATACCTTTTGGCTGTCACTGGGACCAGCAGCATCAAACGTCTGATTCACAGACAGGAAAGGACAAGAGCCATCTAAAGCCACACCACTCACTGTAGGGCTGGTCATCTGTAATACATTTAGAAAAAACAAAAAGTTTTAGATTGAGATTTAAGAAACCAATAGACAATCTCACTTCATAAGATATAACAAGAGTCAAGAACTACGCAAACAGACTCTCCTAGAGAACATGCATGCCAGCATGCACAAAGCATCAGAAAAAACAACTTTATAGTAAAGTTTCCTTTCTGTCTTGGCAACCTCTGTTTTCACAAATTTTAACATAAAACATGTTTTGTGGGGACATTCCTTTACACAATCTTTCAGTTTCTCATGGGGACCAGACTACCACAGTCTGACTTTCAAAACAGTTATGACCTCGACACTTTTATACACTTCTAATTTT